AAACCATTTGAAGAGTTCAAACTTTTCAGCAATCCTTTCCAAAGATCTCATTGTAAAGAATACAGTAGGTAAGTTAGAAATACTTCATGAAAAGGGAGCAAAATGAAGAAAATGAAACTGAGGGCAAATAATGAGACCTTAGATCTTTTAATTTTGGGCTATCTAAGTTCAGCTAATTTAAACAGGTGCAATGTTTAGAAGGGCAGGTTTTTAGTAACGGCTCTCTGGCAGTAGAGTAACAAATATGTATAACATGTAAACTCAGTAGTTGGTTTGGGAATTTCTGGTCAGAGTGACTTGCCCAAGCTCACCCAGTAAATCAAAAGCAAAACTGGTGCAACTGAGTCCTACTTTCTAAAGTTTGTTTATTCAACCAGTTTGTAACACTTTCTTCCTGTTCCAGCTGAATCATTTAATTGCTATAATGTCGTAGTTTTGTTTCAGCATTTTTTATCACCAGCGGGTAGGGATTTAAAAAAGCACTTCACTGTTCACTTCTGGTCATCCTGGTAACTTTCATCTGTGCACTGCTTTATTTTGCTGGAGGCTTTCCCAACAGGCTGGCTTTTTCTCTGAAAAGCTGCATCACCTATGGAGCTAGGAACTGTGACCTTCTGATGCTTGAATGGTTCCACAGAAACTTCAAAACTTTGTTTTCTTAATTTCTCTTTTCTGCTTTCCTTTCCCTTTCCTTTTTTCTTTCCTTTTTCCTCTCCCTTTGTTATTGTTGAGTGGTTGCTTTTTTTGTTGTTGTTTTGTTGTTGTTGTTTGTTTTTTCAACTAAATAAATTATTGACATAATTAGGAAATACATTTTGCAGATATTATTTTTCATTCGTGATATGAAACTGGTATTTTGACCAATGATGCAACAACAAATAAGCTTCAGCATGCAAATGTTCAAAACAACCTCTCACATCTTTCCTATGCAATTGCTGGTAGAAGAATCCTGTAACTCCTTGCCTTCTGATGAGCATCATTCTTCTTACCCTTCAAATTGTTCTTTGTTTCTTTACTTATCCTTACCAGATGAAACTCTACCTTTTGCTTTATGCTTGGCTGTCAGGTGTGCTGGCTGTTGCCAACCTTCACCTGCCTTGCAGTTTTCACCCCAGCTTTTATTGTAAGTCAAGAAACAACCTCATGTGAGCTGTTTTCCTTAAAAGCTTATCATTTGCACTTGCCACTGCTATGTGTGGCAATGTGATGAATAGATACAGATCTGCTCACTGGTGCATAGTGGCCTCAGGTTCTTGGCTCTTTTGTTCTATTTGCCTACTATATAGTTTGGCACTCTTTTTTTGAGTAATGTCTTTTGTTTTCTGAGAGACTGCTGTGAATACAAAAAGCAAAGTCCCACTTTTTCATCTCATCAATCTCTTTGCTCATCTTATACCAAATACCTGGGAATATACGTTTCTATGGAGCAAGGGACCCTTTTATCATCTCGCCATTGCCATCAATCTCTGGTCTGTATTTACCTTTAACTTCTTTTCAACATTTTGCAGGAACCTGGGGCTGGATGTACTCTCCTCAATCTCCAGGTGTGCTAAATAGCTACAGATCTCTGCACTTTGCTAGCTCCCGCTATGTGTCAAGTGCCAGGCACAGGATATTTTTGAAGATGTATGGCACACCTTAGGGTACTTTCTGTAAGTGTCATTTCTACAACTATGTAAGAAGTAAAAATGGCAGGCTATTGTAACCAAGAAACAAGTGCTCCTTGTAATTAAAAGACAAGCTACCCTACACAGTAATGTTTTCAATGTTAGGTTATGTCCTAAAATGAAGGGAGGGCAGAAACTCAAATCAAGGACTCTCCAATCACCTTATGGTCTAAGGTGATTGATGTTTAATGTCACTGTGGGGGAACAGTATGGGATGCAAGGAAAAAGCAGACTGGGATTGCACTGGACGTACTATGGGAAGTCTAGGGAAGGAATCAAAGATGGTGGGAAAAAATGGGGTTGGGTGATTTGGAGAGAAGCAAGAGTGGGAAAATAAAAGTGTAAGTAGATAAAAAGGACCAGTCACATACAAATTGTTGTTGGCTCATTCTAACTCATGTACGGATATGCCCTGCCCATGATTGGTGCAGCTGGACCTGTTATTAAATTCCTCTCTAACACTGCCTTGAGTGAGGGCTTTGTATTTTTTTTCACATGCGAGTATAAATCTTTTGTCTATTAAAATGTTTGATATGCTTAGCAGAAATACTAAGTCATGGCTTGAACCAGTGATTGAGCACCCAGTGGGAAGGCAGGACCAACCCAGGGGATTTCAGCTGTATGCAATGTACTGGACTGACCAGAAAGGCTGGCCCAGGATCCACTCCTTCCCAGACCTCATTTTAGGGTTGGCAGTGGAGGCAAGGTTATTTCTTGCTGGAGATCCCTATGTACCTGATGCCTTTCAAAGGTAAGCATCTCTTTTCCTTTATTTTTGTAACTGTGGCTGCTGCATTTGGGCTTGTTCTCATTTGCTGTAGCCAAAGACTTTGCTGCCCTGCTTTTATCATCTTATTATAGCATTACATACATGTATTAGATTCATAGTGTATCACCGTAGCATGTGTATATTATATGTAGCAAATCATAGGCTGTTGGAGGTTAAAATTCAGTCTCATGTAAATTCCAGTGAGGTTAGCTTGAGACTGGGAGGATGAGGATGAAGGACCAAACTATTCGGATCTGGAAAATCCTGGCCAGATGCATGTGTAGCAGTCTGTACCTGGAGCTGGAGGAGGGTTGCAGTTAGGTGGGCTTATATGTTAAGGTGCCAGCAACTGAGGAGATCAGGATCCAGAAGTTGCATGTGGGCTAGGGAGCTACATGCTCCTTACAAATATGTATTTCTCTTAGTGGACTTCCAGCCAGGGAGAAGAGTAGGATAAGGCTGTTGGTGTTGTCTACGTTTGTGTGAGCGCTCTGAGTGTCTGCCTATTAACTGTGTGGCTAGACAAGTAGATGCATAGCATATATCTGTGCAATGTAAACATGCACTTCATATGTGTCTGTCTGCTTGAAATGCATCTTCAGCCTTTCTATTGGCTAAACCTGGGCTGATTGATTACTCCACTGAAATATCTGCTTTAAACTATAGAAAATTTGCTTTTTTCATAGTATCCGACATCATACAAATTTGCTGCATATTGTTAAAGCACTAATATACCATTCACAATAGCTGCTCAATAGTCACTCAATAGAATCCATCGCTTGCAGTTGGGCATATTTTATGGCAGAAGCTGAGTGGATGGAATTGCTCCAAAGCTCAAAATAATGGTCAGAAAGTGTTCTTGTTTTCACATACCTATCTTCTATTCCTTAAGCACCAAATGCTCTGGTCCCTGAGCTCTACTGTTTCTAGGCTTCTTCCTGAACAGCCACTTTGCAACTGGAACTGATCCATGCAGCTCCAGGATTTTAAGACTGGTGTCTCACTCAGTTTTCTTTATTTTTTGAAGTTCTTGAGTGTTTATCAATGGTTTAATGTCTCAAGAAGTCACCCAGGAAAGCCTTAAGTGCGCATATATGTGGAGGATGGGCCCCCACATTGTGGGACTCTCCTGAGAAAAGAATCTGCATGCAATGAAAGGTAAGGAGGTACTAAATGGCTGATAGATATACTACCTAAGTGTTGATAGCTTGTTATTTACATAAAAAAAAAGGCAAAATTAGTCACTTGTATTTAGTGTTTAGATTAAATATAAATGCCTCTCTATTTCTCCAGCATCCTTTAAAGTCTTCGTAATGCTGTTATCTATTTTATTATTAAACATTTTATATGCTTTTACCTTAGCCTTGCATGAAGAAAAGATGATATGTAGATAAGGAACTAATGCTTCATTTTTTCATTTTTTGGGTGAAACTTGAAATGATGTACTAGAATATATAGACTGCTGAAAACTGTTATATACAAAATAAATATAACAACAATCATAGAATCACAGAATTGCTCAGGTTGGAAAAGACCTGAAAGATCATAAAGTTCAACCACAATAGACTAGGTTAGGAGCTGTTAAAGACAGAATCTTTGTAGAAGCACTGTCTTTTAACAACTACGCTAAGTAGTTTAAGTTCTCTAGTGCATAATACATACTGGAACGTGCCTGAAATATGAGAGTATTCTAAAAATTTAAAACATCTACTTACACTACTGAAATCCCTTTCTTTTCTTAGAGTCTATTTAGGCTTCTTAGGAAGATGCTGATTAGCTACCCACTCCAAAGGGAACAATTTCTCAATTTTAGGCTGTTTCTTTGGAGATATGGCTGCTCTATATAATTATTCTTAATATAGATATTACAGTTTGTCAACAGCATTGATGCTTAAAGATTGTATGAATACCTGGCTCAATTTGATGATGAACCTGTGCAATGGTGTCAGTTTGCAAAATATTGTATACTGAATACCATTTATCAAAAGTATTGTGTGTCCATAGATCTGTGGGTGGAATATTGATAGCATGAAAACAGATCTTGACATTGAAAAAACTGAATATTGTTGTATCGTTTCTTTAATATGCCCTTATTGTTGGCATTAGCTATTAGGTTATTCTAATTGTAAATAAACTCTTAAATTTGTTAAATTCCTCTTACTATGAAAAAACTATTGACTCATTCTATGCTAATTACACAAAATTATTGATGCTTTTTTTGGAATTTGGACAATTACTTTAGTAACTCCATGAATACATTCAAATGAACAACTGAAAAATAGCATATAATGTCCTTATGAACCTGTTTTTCCTCCAATTCTTGCATCATTTCATGATCTTCACCCTTAAGATTCTCATGGCTATTATGAGAAAGGTAGTGCCAAACAACAAAGAAAGGAACATGAGGACTTTGCGAAGGTATAAGCTAGTGTAAATTCAAGTGGTTGAAAAATGCAAAAAAAACCCAACCAACCAACCAACCAACCAACCAAACAAAAAAAAACAACAACGAAATTCTGGGTCTTTTTTATTGTTAATATTTGCTCTTTGGTCAAGAAAAAACTTTTACTTGAATCTGTGTAGAGTTCTTCCTGAGCAGAATTTCTGGCGTTTGGGCCTTTAATGAGCACTAAAGAAAAATCATTAATGGGGACAGAAATAAAAGTACTGAAGATGGTGCCCATACACTATACACTTAAGTTTACGTGCTTGTATGTTTAAGCACAAGATGATACAAAATAAGGTCAGGGGAAATCATCCTGTATGTATCCCAAAAGATATCTGATATGCCCAAAGACAGCAAAGCCCTGTTTATTCAAAATACTTTGGGAACATCAAAACATTTGGATAAACAGGGCTTCAAATAATTGAGGGAGTTATTGTATAAGTAATTCACACCAGGGGACATAACCTAGATTCAAAGGAGTGAGTTTCATATCAAGGGTTATAGATAAATGGGATTTTAGTCTATATGAACAGAAGAAATAAACAGCATCTGAAGAATTAAGGAAGAAAGAGGTGTCCAAATATTTTTTTTTTTCAAGAAGAGTTGAGAATGAAAGGTCAAAGTTGCTGCAATAGGTCACAGAGCAGAATACTCCTACAGAATCAAAATAGCAAGTAAATAAATTACACCAAAAGGGTTTGGATTTCTTCTGTTTGGTTTTTAAACTCACTGACCTCCTAGTCAGGGTCATATGAATGAATAGTTTTTGCTCTTATCCCAGTCATGACACTGGCATATATTTTGTGGCAGAAAGCGGGGATTTGTAGTATTCAGGGAACTGTTAAGTTATTTTCCTCACAGCACAATGGAAGCAAACTGCAAAATATGCAAGTTGGGTCTTTTATGGCAATACTGCCTGAATGCTCATCTTTCTATTTATATCATGACCCAGACATGGTTTATCTACATACAAACACCTCATCATCTCCAACCAAAAGCCCTCTAAAATACAAATTTTAAAAGTTGTTGTGTGTGAAAGATAGTTGGCAATGCATGTTGCTAATATGATTGCATGGATAATTTAGCAATTTGGACATACTGACAGCCCTGCCAGGTGCCTGTTCCTCACACCATGATGCCTCACCTCACGACACCCTGGTCAAGTGAAGGAAAGCCTCTGCTGCACAATGCATGCGGAAAGAGTTCCAGAGATGTATTCTCGACACCTGGTTGCCCTGTTAAAGATCTCCTGATGTTTTTGAACCTTGTGCTTTCAGCCTCTGAAAATGTTTTGCCTGCAGCCCTCACAGCTGCTCTGCAGAGGGACGCAACACAGCGTCTTTGCCTCAGTGGTTTTGGCGGGAAGAGCAGGGTCGAGCGGTCGCCATATTGCCACAGGCACTTGGAGGGCTTGTTGCACCCTCTCCTCTCAGCCTCGTGGCTTCACGGCTCTGCCAGACATGGGTAAATGCCATCCCAGCATTGGGAAAGATTGGAGAAGTAAAAATTTGTAGTTTCACAAGAGTGATATGGGAGAGGAGGCGAGTAAATGCCTGTGAGGTGCTGGAAGGTACCGTTGGTGACAGTGGAGCCAATCCTCTCAGAGGAGAAGCAGCCGTTAGCAGGCAGCCCCACAGGGTGAGAGAGGTCTGAGGACAAGCAGAGCGCTAGGGGCACCACTGGTTTGCTGGCAGGTAACAGCATGCTCTGGAAGAAATTAGAGGTGAACCACAAAAAGCAATGCAGAGGAAGGTCAAAACAAGCATTGGGGTTTTTGTTTCCTGAGGGAGACAAAAGGATACCTTGGAGTTGGTTTAAAGTTTCATGCTACTGGCCTGGCTTCCTCTCAACTCCTCATCCCATTAATCTTCTGCAACCTGTTGGGTGGAGTTGTGTTGCCTGTGTTACAGGTACAAAGCAAATTTCTGGTGTTATTCTAATTTCTTTCAGCAGGTGATTCATGTTGATACAGGTATTTTAAAAATATATCCTTTTTCCAGAAAGGAAAAAAAACAACCCTGAAATAGTCACTAGTCTTTGCACTCAACTAGCAACATAAAGTGATAAGATGCATCCAAGTTTTGTCCTCTTTACTCTCTCATTCTTTTACAGGCTTGTCATGGCTTTTCTCTGTGACTGAAGAATCTCTGCTGTGCATTTCTTGGTTGCAGTTCAAAAAGGATATTCCAACCAGTTTGCTATCTGGAGCAGTGCAGAGAAGAGAAGGTAAAATGGAACTTCGTGTGGTATTGTTTTCAGTTTGATGCCCTGGAGTCTGAAACTGTTTTATAGCCCCAAGTCCAGAAAGTACATAGGTTTGTGCCTAACAAACTTCTTAAACCCTTAGGAATGTAAAGATACGTGTAAGTACTTGGACAAAAGCAATGCAGGTTTCCTTAGACTGCTGGTATGGAGCCTATGGATGTATTATCTGTGGATCTGAGAATCCTTTCCTATTCCCATTTAACACCTGGATTTTTTGATATAATGAAGACAGCAGCCATGCCATTTTTGATCTGTTCACCTAAGGATGCAAAGTCTGCTTTGCTGCCATCAAATTCAAAAGCACGTCTGACACTCAGTTCAATAGGTACAGGATGGGCCCTGTTTTATTATTATTTTATTTTTTCTTTTTGTTTCCTCCCCAAAGGCTCTCTTTAAAGGGTAAAACCTACTGAAGATACAGGTCCTTCAGAATCAAACAGAATTAATGAATTTCTCAAGCTCGTTTTCTGAAGTAGATTTTTTTCCCTTTCTACTTCCTGCCACAGTCACATCCTTTATTCAGTACCATGGAGGTACAGCTGCATAGTGGAGTATAATTTATGAGAAAGAAATGTGTGTGCTTGGGATTTAAAATAACATACTCCTTAATTATATTTAATAGTGTCTTATCAATAGACTGATAAACTTGGGTGTTTGCCGTTCCTATTGATTATGATGCTCTGTAGCAGGCAGAGGCACTAACTGCTGCTGCTGATGGAAAAGAAAAGGTACTGGAAGGAGGAGGGGAGAAGGAGGTGGGAGACGAGGGGATTGGCTGCTTGCAATGTCAATCACAGCTGCGGGGCCCGGCTCTTCCGCTGCTCTAGCCCTGGCTCTCCCTTGAACAGCTCCTAGAGAGAACAAGGCGTGCGGAGCCCAGATCACCAGCATCATGCTCCTTGGGCTTGGATCGTAGATCCCCCCTCTTTGAACATTAAAATAACTCCTTCGCACATCAGCGTCCCAGACAGATCCAGCGAGACAACAGGCACGTGAAGGAGAGTGAAAAGAAAGAGGAGGAAGAGAAAAATCTGCAACCAAGTGGACTAAAGCAAAAAGAAAGAGTGCTTTGCTTGCACAGCTGCAAAGTGGGAATTTAAAGAACTGCAGAGAGAAATTCCAGCTCATCAGCACATACACATTGCAGAATTACAGATCCAGGTAGAAATGACATCAACAGGGAAAGAAGGCAGCGGAGCTCAACATGCACAATATGTTGGACCCTATCGTTTGGAGAAAACCCTAGGAAAAGGACAGACAGGTTGGTTCCTTTGCAGCAGCACCCGCGCCACAGGGAAGGTGCTGTAGCAGCCAGTGAGGTGTTGGGGATGGGGTATATAAGGGATTAGGTTTTCCCGTTTGCTGATTTAGTGAAGATAATATTCACAAAGGATTTTTTGCTTTATTTTTAATATTCATGTTATTTTTTCCTCTTTAAAAAAAAAAAAAGAAGATGCTTTATGTTCATTACTCCTTCTAATGGGTGGTGTTCTGGTGACGGAAGGAGTGCATGCAGAGGAAAAAATAGATGATGCTTGTGGTGCATTTTCACATCAATTTCTTCTCTGTCCTACTTAGTCTTTTCTTTTTAATCAAATTATATTGAAATGAAAGGTTCACAGCCTGTAGTACCAAGGAGGTGGTGGTGGTGGTAGTGGGGGAGTCACCAGCAGTATTTCATGACATCATGATTGAAAAGGGTGTAGTCCTTAAGGTGCAGTTGGTGATGGGAAATATATACAGTATATCTTTGGCACTGACTGCATTGGGCATTTAGCAAATATGGATGGATGAGATGGTGTTTTTTTGTGTAGCATCTGAAATAAAAGAAAAATAGAGGATCAGTAGCAGAATTCTGGTTATCCTATGTTTTTGTAGGAAGAATGAGGGGGAGGGGAGGTTATTTAATTATTTCTCTTAAAGCTTGTTTATGAACTCACCCCCAGAGATCTGCTTGAATGGAACAATGGTAAGAAATATTAAAAAGAGGAAACAGAGTGGAGGGAATTAGCGGAGAGCAGGTGCTTCTGCCCTACATGACATAATTAGATCCTCTAAATGCGTTAAAGATATGGACTTGCTGTTGCTTGCTTAGATAGCCTGTTCACTTCAAGGACAGGGGATCCTTAATTGGAAGATAAACCTCTAAAAGAAGCCCAAATGACTTTTCCTTTTTTATTTTATTTTATTTTTTGTAGTAACAGGTGCAATAAGCAATGGGATCTGGCAAATTCACTGGACTGGGGAGACCCCCCCTAAAAGTGAATTGAGTCTTGAGATGATAATTTAGGGAAAGGGGAAATCAGTAATGGGGAGCTTCTTTGGGCATGTGGGTATTAAGTGTTGTTCATTACGGTGGGACAATAAAACATGATGCATTGTGGTGGGGTGTTTTTTTTGTTGTTTTTGGTTTTGTGTGTGCGTGTGTTGTTTTTTCTTTTTTTTAAAACCAGCCGAGCTTTGCCCATCTGTTGTCTAAAGGTTTTAATAGGCGTTTCCATCCCCAGCTGCTGCCTCCGCTCTGCCTGCTTCCTCATTGCCCTGCGTGGCAGCAGCTCTGCAGTCCGCAATTTTCTTAGGGACACAGTCAAAATCCAGATCTTTCTCTGTAAGAAGCAATGCTCTTCTGAGATGATTGATTATAACCCCCCCCATCTTTCCCCTCCTCTTCACAACCCCATAGCAACCGTTCTGAGACGGGGATGGGGATGACATTGTCTTCCAGTGAAAGTGACTTTTATTTATATTTCTATTTTTTTAATCCTTTTCAGTACATCAGCTGCTAAAGGTAGCTTTCTGTCAGTGTTTTGGGTACCACCTTTATTTATTCTTTGCATAGCTCAGTAAGCCCTTACTTGTGCAGCTATATTCTTACTAAAATCTGCTCTGATGATGAAAATACTCCACTGAAAAAAAAAATGCAGTATGTTGGTAATAAAACTATCCTATTTCTTTTGGTAATCTTTTTTTCCTGGATACTCCAGGTGATCAAAGATCCAGCTGTGAATGACGAATTCATTTTTGTCGTCTTCACCATTTCCTTTTCTCTTTCTCACCCTCTGAGTACCCCTCCCTCTCATGTAAAACACAATTGTCTGATTCCTGAAAATACTACCGCATTAACCTTTCGCTCCAGATCTCATAGCCTGACGTTGTGGTCCTAAAGGGTTATCTGCAGCTTTGGTTATTTTTTTCCTCTCTGCTAATCTTCCTATCTTCCTCCTAAGTGATTAGAGACGTGGGGGGTGGAGGGAGGAGAGCATGCATTTAGAAGCTGCTGTTGGCCTCTGCAGTTTTTCAACCACCTGGACAAGGGTGAAAGTTTCCTTTTGCAGTTTCACCACATAACTGATCTTAATAGATAAGTCTCTGCTGCCTGTGCACATGAGTGTACATAAAAGCACAATGCATGGTGCCATAGAAGCTGGAGGCGGTAAATGAGGGAGGGGAAGAAGAGAAAAGCTTAAAAGTAGCTGATGTCAGCCTATGTCTTCCTTGCTATACGTACTGTCGATCAATGTAATAATGCACTGAGGTGAAATCTAGTTCAGTATTAAACATACATGGCTGAAGATGGAAAGATGCCTTCTGGTCTTCTCGCATTTTCTGTGCTAATCACATTTGCTAGCATGCAGAATGCCATGAACAGTGTGTGCTATGTAGCTAGTCCCCATCCTGCTTGTTTTGAAGGGTAAGCAGGTAACCTGCAGCATTCCAGGGAAGATGACAACAAGCGCAGCATGAGGGCCTCGTTCACCATAATGTGTCGTCATCGTGTGTAACTTTGCGTTTGGGTTGCAGTAGCATATAGCTCAAGAAAAACAGTGACTGTAATTATTCCCTTAAAGCTTGACTTTAAAGCTTGGAAGATGAGGAGGTAATAGCTTGGCATGAATCTTTATTTTTTTCTGTGGGATGGGAAAGAGAAAAATTTTGCAGAATGTAATGGTCAGTGGATAGAAAGTCTAAGTTGTGTTGCTAAGTCTTACCCAATTTGCAGTGATCTTTGTACTCATCATTTCATTTTCTGTAAGATACTGATTATTTCAGATATGTAAACTTTAGCTTTGCTCCCAGGTATATTAATATTATACGAATCCATTAATCACTTTAACCGTCTTTTACTGAGATCAAAAGAATAGTTTTTTTGGAGTGGAGCATGGGTTTGTAGTTCAAGGCAGACTTAGAGAGGGTGCTGTGGAAGGGTAATGTGATGGTAAACAGAATTATAACTAGCCTGCTCTCCATGAAGTTCTCACTGATTATCATCTTAATAACTGAGAAAAATGTTTATCACCAGCAGCTTACTGGTCTCTGCAAAGAGGTGCAGATGCTGCATCTCTGACATTAGAGGAACCTAATGACATCTGGCTGTGGTTAGGCAGACTGACGTGGAAAGGTCTTCAATTCAAATAGGTGGGTAACAACTGTTGTTTCAAGTGTTAATTAGAATTCAAAATAAGATGCACAAAATTTGTCCTGAATAGCATTCTGTGCTGGTGTCTCAAGCTTGCCGAGGGTGACTGATGCCACAAAGAGGATGAAGACCTCTTAGTTGGAGAAGTCAGAAAAGGACTGTGTGAAAGAGAGAAAGATATGTGCTTATGCCTTTGCTGGTAGCAGAAATGATAGAGAGAAGATATGGGAAATTGTTTTGAATAACGTAGTGTAAGAATTTAACATATAATGTGAGTATTGTAGTTAGATGGTCTTCACTGGCATGCTTGCTTTTGTAATAAGTTAAATGCTGAGTGTCTCCCTTGTGTGGTTTTTTTTTTTTTTTTGCAGCTGGATGAATGGTTTTCTTGGAATAGAAGCAGCAGCATAATTTGAATTATTATACTCCAAACGCCTTATTTTACAGAAGTGTTAGCGCAAAAGATTATTTCTGTATATGTGAGTGTGTGGGGAAAGGTTGGTTTATGAAAGTTTCGTCAAATTACCTTCTACTACAGTTAATTATAGGAGGTTTCCATTGTAATTAACAGTAATGAGGAAAAGGATGTGTGTCATGTTACAATAACACACGTGGAAACAGTGCACCTTAAGAAACCCCAATCACACCTAAACATGAAATACTGTTTTGGTTTTCCTAACTCAGACATTTTTTCCAGTTGCCACTCATTTTGTATTTTGTATATTCCTCTTATTTATTTTTGTTCCACTGATACTTTGGCTTATGCGTTTTCTTTCTTCCCATTAATCCTATTTCATCCTCAAAACTCTTTAAAGAGTGATTTGGATTGCAATCGTAAGTAAATATTCACTATTGTCAGTGGTGAGGGACTCAAGTATTATTTCTTGTGAAGGACTGCAGAACTCGAGTGTTTTCTTGTATTTTCATTTGACGTTGCTTTATGAACTTTGGCATCATAGTGTGCTATGGCACCAAATCAACGTGCAGTTGATTTCCAAAACACTGTTCTGTCTACAAGTAATACGAGACCAACTCTACATGCTTGTTATCCTATTAACTTTCAGATAATCTTAGTGAAAAAAACTAATGTTGCTGATCCTTATTGTTTTATGCCTTTCATTCCATTTTCAGCCCAGTTGTGCAGGCAATTCAGAACAGGAATACTGCTGAAACTCATGTCACTTTGACCTTTGAGGAAATGTAGGGGTCTCTTTTCTGTATTATATGCTATGTAACTTACAGCTATTTCTTTTATGTATGTCTTGTCTGTGTGAGCCATCAGCAAGGCGTTCAGCAGTAGCTGTTCAGTTATATAAGAGATCATTACATTTGAGTCTCAACAAATTCAGTAGTCTTTTATTCAGCGAGGCCTTGAACAGGATGTTTCTTTGCAGCCTTAACCACCTGTTTCTGTGACATCCTCAGAAACTGAAATTTGTTATTTTTTTGTGTGTCAGACTTGGTTGCAATTGAAAGCTTCAAACCTATCGGAAGAGTGTTTTGTAGACAGTGATTTCAGAAGCCAGTTTTGTGTTGTTTTTATTTTTATTTTTTTGTATTTGGCTAAACAAAGTGTATCCTTTTTGTCTATACTACTATAAATATATTTATTTTTTGTCCCGTTTGTTAGATACAGAGAGAATTCTAAAATAGTTCTGCGTTATTCAGTTTAGTTATCTAGATGAATATATGGTTATTGATGTGTTTACTCATGGTGGTTCTCTCCATGGCCTTTTCTTAAAGTGCGTATTCTGTTCACGTTTTCATCTATATTTCTGTTTTCCTTATGAGAATCACTTTCAAAACAGTAAACCTGCACCCTATTTTTATGATAGTCTGTAAAG